TTATCCCAGCTGGGGTCAGGAGGGGTGCTGGTGCCTATCTCAAGCTGTCTACGGGCCAGAGGCGGGGTACAACCTGAACAGGTCGGCAGTCCATCGCAGGGCATCTCTAAATCAACTATTTAAAAATATTTAACGCTCAATGTGCTGTCACCATTTAGTCAAGGTCTTTAGTAAAATGGAAAAGCCTTCATTGGCATCACGACAATGAAAATTATCAGGGATAGTACTTTTGAAGCTATACTCAGGCTGCTGCGACACCTACATGCTTTTTGAGAAAGATAAGGAGATTAGCAGGTATTTTAAATCTTGTTTAACAAAAACTAAACTTACATAATAACAGTTTCAAACATGGCATTTATTTACTGTTTTTATTTTGACTCACCTCATATGGACCTGATGTAAAAAAAACATACCATGAACCACCAAACCTGCCTTTTAATGCCATGAAAATCCAGAACTCAATTAAAAACAATGTGTTTGCTGAAATGTAAAAAAAATTTAAATAATAATAGTGAATAGACAAAATATTTTAAGACAATACAAGGAAAATTTTACATCTTATTTGAATAGGAAGAAAAAGAGCAACTATTATAAATAACTATTTCTAACTAAGTCTGTATGGCTTTTTATCCCAAAAGCAGAACAAAACAGTAAGAATATGAAATATTCTTTCTCTATATGATATAGGAAATTCCTTTGGTAGAAATTAAAGGTCTCTCTTTTCACCTCTATTGAGCTGGAAGAAATTAAATCCTGTAAATTAGACAAAAGGATTTGCTACACTTGGCTGATGGTGTTGTTAAGACACATACAGTTTAGTAAGCAGAGACAGCAATGAGCAATGAGCTGTTGAGTGCACCACCAAAGTGCAAGCACAGACACAGACCTAAGCAAAGACAAAGACAGAGGTTGTCAGAGTTTAGCGCTCATCAGACACATATTTATTGAAGCAAGGGTGCGTGAGATTTCAAAGCTGCAGACTAGTCTCACTGCGCGCTCGGATTGCTATCTGCGCGCTGAAGTTGATGGAACAAAATATCAAGCAGCAGGTCTTCCATGAACTGCGTAACACCCCTATATCTTTTACGGTTAGACACAACCAGTCTGTTTCGGCTTATTTTAACACCTGTGATTTAGGCCTGATTACAGCATGTACTGTTTGAAACAACAGGAAAATAAAATGCAATAGCCCTATCTACGCCTTTGGCAGCAATGAGGTGGCTTTAAGATAAATGTTCTGGGACTAAAAAGTGTCACATTAAAATGTACAAAAAGAAGCACATTTGGGGGTGAGTTAAGCTTTAAGTCTGCACACAGAAAATGTTCTTATTTTGATTTAAACAGTTGTGGCTGCTGGTTTCTAAACCATGAGAGGCTCAATGATGTTAATTAATTCCAAACCTAACGTAATACATGAACACATTTTTCCTGTCTAATGAGGAAAACCTCTCCTCTGTCTGATCACTGTCAGTCAAATTTTTTAGCGTGTTCTGCATGTAGGGTGGCCATTTCTATAGCACCAAAAAGGAGGACATTGTGCGGCATATCAATAAATTACTAAGGTGTACATAAGAATCGGGTAAAGTCACATTTATAGCACAATTCTTAGTAGTTTAAAGAGGATGCTTGTGTAGCTGAATAGAACAAAATATTAAAGAAATGTAAAAAAGAATTGGTTCCCAGCATTTGTATTTATTTAATACATTGTGGTGTTTAAAAAGTGACAATTTTTTAACACGATTAATTTGCGCAGAACTGCTGCAATTGATCATAAAGCAGTTGTTTGGAAAAGAAGCTCGAGAAAGAGCTAGAGAATAGGACGATGCAAACTGCAAAAAGTGGCTGGAAAAGAGGAATTCATGACATGGCTGCAGCCTGTTGAGAGTAAAGATGATTTCACCATGTTCTCTATCTATCCATATATATATATATATATATATATATATATATATATATATATATATATATATATATATATATATATATATATATATATATAAACTTGAGTCATGGAACTGTGCTTACAGCTCCTTATTTCATGCAATTTCTTGTGTACATGATACTTGTTGATGCCATTAAAATTATTTCTAATAGCATTAAAAGAGCATTAAATTAGAGTTCCTCATTCCTGTATAAAACCTGTGACCGCTTAATTTAATCTGACATATTAAAAAAATCCCCATCATCATCCAGCAGATGTTAAGTTTCTGCCCAAATATTTTCTTTCTGTTGTGGATTTTTGTTACAGGGATAACTAGGATCATACATAGTTTGTATGAACTCTGTTTATTCTCTGCTTCCAAACTCATCATCTCTTCATCCATTCCTGCAATAAGAATTTTCTTTTAAAGTTGTGAGATGCGCTCTAGAATCTCACAACTTCTTCCTGGTCTGTTGAAGCACCAATAGTCTGCATCAACTTATTTAATTAATTGCTCTTAGTTTTTGGGAATATATACGAACTATGCTCTAATTTCTAGTTACCGATCTGTTTTTACTATAATTTAATTTGACAAACCGGGTCTTCTCTACATTCTTTTTTCTGTTTGGTGCGATTGCAATAGCAGGTCTTGATCTGGACGGACCGGAGGGGAGCAAAAAATAGCTCAGCTCCGTATTTTGACGGTGAAGGACGGAGAAGACGTACGTGGGCGGTGACGAGCGGAGGATGTGGAACAGCTCTCATTGATTTACATGACAGACAAGTACTCTGCACGACGTACGTGAGCGGGGCGGAGCGCTGACGGAGTATGTGGAATCTGGGGGTAAAGGAGGACAAATACACGCCCGGCTGGGTGCAGCGCCGGACGCCGGACAGTGCAATGAAAAGCCGGACATCTGGCCACCCTATCTGCGTGTCAGCATCGCGCAGCCAGCTTCATGACCTGCCCTGGCCCACCCCTGCTCCATGCACCCCATAAGATGCTGACCCTCACTGGAAGCGATGGATTTTTGTGTATCATTGAATCAGGGCTCCACTTTCTCACTGATTGCTTCAATGCATATAGTCTCAGAACACAACGGGGCTTTTCTAATAGAGACTGACAGGCAGAGCGGAGGGTGATCGGGTAACAGCTGATTAATCATACTCAACATACTCATGAACTAAAGGGTCTTTTGAGGCACATTTAATGCAGACAACATTTAAGTTGATTGAAAATACATATTTGAACAATAATTTTACAAACTTTAATGGTGAGTTTAAGGCTGCCTAGTATTCAATGATAAATCATCACTGGTTTTTGAATATCTAAAATCTAAATAAATTCACTGTTGTCAGCTTGTTTTTCTAGGCTTAGTTTGCCAATCTAGATAGTCAGTAGGATTAGCAACTGGTTTTCCATTATGCAACAGGAAGGCGGTGAAGGTGGGTTTCAGTATTCATTAGTACTTTATTCACTTCGACCATTTAGGTTTGTACCCCGGGTTTGAGCAGGCTTTGTTTGAACTAAAGTTTGATGTGCTTGAAAAACTTTTCAGGGCGTTTAATTAGCTTTGTGTGAGCATTTTATTTATTCATTTATATATATATTTTTTAGTTTTTACGGCACTAGTGGCTTGTTTTTTCTACAGTAGGCTGACAGGAAAGGGGGTATGAGAGAGGGGGATGGACACGGGGCAAAGGACCACAGGTCAGATTCGAACCAGGGTTAGGCGTTGAGGACTAAGGCCTCTATGCATGCGTTGTGAGCGCTCACCACTACACCACCTGCATGCCCTCATGTGAGCATTTTAAATTGTTAATGTACATTTTTTCATACGGTGGTAAATGTATTCCATGTACCACTTTTTTCAAACCATTTTTGAGAAATTTGGAATTCGAGGCAAGGGCTATTGTTGCTGATTAAAAACAGAGATGTAATGAATTAAGCATTATCATAGTCAGAAATATGTTGCACCTTCTGTTGTTTAGTTTTTAATTCACTGCTGAAAAAAAAACACTACTCTTTATAAAGCAGGTTTCAAGCACCTTCTTGCACAGCAGCTGTCAGATCAGTTTTGGAAGTTTTGTTACCGGTATACTGATTTTTTTAATTACCTCTTAGATGAAGGCCTGGAGAAGTTGCTCTATGTCACTGAATTTGTCTACCTACTCAACGGAAAGTTTAAATGTTTATTGCTCGGTCGTGAGATGCATTCTAAGTATAACCCAGAAAAATGAAATCCATCATCAGCAAACCCACTCTGCGTTGATGGAAGAAACAAATGTCCTCCTCTGCATTTTCTGTGGAGGTAATAACCACCATCTGCTCTGCTCGTTTGCCTGACGTGCAGCCCCATATCATACCTGATTTTTCTTGTTTCCTTCAATCACTCATATTTAGATGTTTAATCGGATCCGAACAAACGTTGCAGCATCGTGTCGTTGGCTGATGCAGATCAGGATTCGTCCAATCATCTGCCCTCTTTTACTTCTCTTTGGCAGACTGAAACCTTGTGTTGTGTTTTCTCACAACTACTTACTTAATTATTTCCCAATTTATTAATCATTACATTGGTTGTCCATTAGCTATTTTGGGGAATTCTGCTTTGACTTTGTATTTCTTTTTTTTTTATTTGTTCCAAGCTAAAATCCAGGTGATTCGGTAAAAACAAACCAACCCAATTCTGGAAGAAGTTTTGCAACGTCACCTTTTTACAGTTCAAGCTCACATCTTTCTTTATGAGGGCCTATTTCCTGTCAGTAAACCAGCCGTAGTTGCTCAATATGAAGTTTTAATGGCAGATTAAAAAAATTACACGCATCCAGTTTTTTTTTGTGAGGTTATGAGAATGAAAACTTAATTATATTGTATTAAATCCAAAAAAGAAACGGTTTAATTTATTTCCTTTATTTATGTCTTTTCTGTTAATTATTTTTTTACCCTAAGTTTAAAAAAATTCTCCAGAGCAGGAATTTTTTCAATATGAAATTTATCAAAAGTTCCCTATACTTGTCTCCAGTAGTGAGACGCTTGTCTGTGTTTTAAACGTACTCATCCTCTTTTTCATCACGTTACCTTTCAGAGGATAAACATATGGCTCTCCATCTGGACCAAAGAACGATGTCCCGTCATCCCCATCGGCTCTGGGGTCATCATCTAGCGATGTGTTCCCTCCTGGAAAAAACATTGGCAAAATAATTACCGGTAAAATTATTAATTACGGTAAGACGAATTAATTGTTAGTAACTGCTTCTATATAAATGGAACTCTGCTGTTGGACTCATTCTGAGAGCGTTCAAGATCACCATTATCTGCAATCATCCAGATTGTCTTTTTTCCTAGCCACTGACAGGCTGAGCTGGGTTTTATCAGTTTCTGTCTGCATTATGGAAAGGATCTCTGAAGTGTCACTAAAGCCGAAGTCGCTATCTGAAATCTTGTGGGAGGTGACGTGTCGAGAGCTGTTTTAAAAGTAAAAGTGCTAAAAGAAAAATGTTCTGTGACTCTGAAACTTTTGCAGCACTTTTGCAGGTTTGGAATAGGTTAAGGATGGGGTTATTTGGGCTACATCTGAATGCTGCTTAACAAGCTGGACTGAATGTGGTTTGACAGGTTAAAAACAACAATGTTTTTCTTGACTGCCATTCAGAAAACAACAGGGTAAACCAACTAATGCAAATACTTCTCCCAAACTGTTTTAAAGTTATCTTCAAGAATTCTATAATAATTCCTGTCTTAAGGATTTCAATAAAATGTCAGACATCAAGCAGACACTCCTTGTTGTCTGAAATTAGTAGTATTTGTTTGAAATAAGAAATAAGAGAACATTTTCTTCCAAAGACTTATCTAACAGCGCCATCATCTTTCCATTACTTGTCCATCCATCTATTGTAAATGTTTTAATATTAGAAGGAGAAGATATTTTCCTCAACCATCCATCTGCCAGTTCTTTTATCTTCTCAATCCATCTATTTGTCCATCCATCATGACTATTACATTTGCAGTACATTTATTGCATGGAAAGAAAACTAATTTTCTGCTGGAAATCTGGGCCTGAAGAATAGGCAATTTGGACATAAAAACATTTAATAACGTGCATGAAGGGAACAACCTTTGTTAGTTTGGGTTGATCAAGTTTTAAACCTGATCCAAATTATCCTCCAGCTTCATTCAAAGGTGAAACTTCAAGCTCAGTGTTTCCAGGGGTGCAGGGATTAATATTTAGGAAAGTGGAACCCAAAAATATTAAAGGTTAACTTTAAATTTAGAGCCATAAAGACAAAAAAAGAGATGAAAGCAGTGCAGATTGCAATAAACAGAAATGTTATTTTAACAACTATAAAAAACAAGGTATTGCCAGTTAGCTTGAAACAGTTTATTTATCAAACTTGGTAAAACTGACAGATCCTCATGAACTCACCTCTGTAGCCTCCGCCGCCACCTCCTGACACACATCCACCTCCTCCGCCCCCAAAGCCACCGCGGGTCTGCCAGAACTTCTGACAGGCCTGCCCTCCCTGGCCCCCCAACACCAGGGGTCGGCCACCCTTGCTGATAGGAGTACTGTCAATCCAACCTCCGCCTCCACCTGTCACCAAACAAAGCCGCACATTTCATGTCATCTGAGGTAAAGTGCTTCGGAAGTTGGAAATTTCTCACATAGACAGTCTTCCATCAATACGTGTGTGCAGTGACTATGTAGTCATTGTCTCTTTTTTTTTAACCTAGTTTTAGTTGGAAAGGAGGCAGGAAAAGCCACCATCAAACAAGGTTGCATTTAATGTCAGTCAGATTGTGCTCTCTGTGGGTCAAGAGCAAGTTGACCTGTCAGAATGTCACCAAATAGGGAAGACTTGGAGAAATTACAGACCTGCAGCTCAGATCGGGAGGACTTACAAATAAAAATCAAGGCTTGGCTTTTTAAACTGAGAAATACTGCCAAACAAGCAGCTATTCCTAAAACATAATTAATGCTTTTTAGATTTTCAAGTTCTCCTGGAGATGTTCTCTTGGGATGAAAACGCTGTTGCATTAAGAAAACACCAGAACAAAACAAGCAGACGGGGTAAACAAAGCCTGGGTTGATGTACTTACAACAAAGTAAACATCACAATTCTGTTTTTAAATGCTCAAGTATTGTTCTGCAGGCTTCAAACAATCAATGTATTCATGCAGTTTGCATGAATACATTTGTATCAGGAATCAGCACCATATTCTTCAATAAGATGTTTAGACTGTAGATAGCATAACCATCAGACATGTATGCATGTCATAAAACAATTTCATATTATAAAATATGAATTAATATTAAAATAGATGAGTTTGATAATAATAATTTGAGATTCACACTCAGACGACAATTTTGCAGAGAAACAGGGTTTGTTTTCAAGCTGGAACTGTTTTTCCACTTCTGCCAAAAATGGTTTTATTGACTTCTGCGTGGAGAGCAGACTACACTTTCCTTTCCTGGCGCTTTTTAGGCAGGGTGTGATTTTTCAGTTCACTGATCTCTGCCGTCATCTGCAGGCTGTAACAGCAAGAGGAAGGTTTACCCCATGTTCTGTTATGCATCACTAGGTGTTTAGCCATGTGTCGGTTGGTTAGAAGAAGGCAGAGAAGTGCAGAATCCATATCATGTCCTGCTAATAAATTAACTCAGCAACATAATATTGGGGTTAACTTATTGTAAATAAAGGATAAAAAAAAAAATGATTGACAGTATATAGGACAAAGGGAAATACGGGCATACAAACGTGAGAGTTGAAGAGGGATTTGACTTCAATAAAAAAAATAATTTAATCAAAAGTAGTTTCCAACTCAGGTCCCTGATTGACTCTTTTCAATTGCGAAACAGAGCACAATTATAGCACTGCATAGTGTTTGAGCACAAGCTCATACACAGAGGAGAAATATTTATGAAACATCAATTAAGACTTTACAAAACTCCGTCAGGGTGTAAGCAAGCTGCTTTTCCCTGAAATGAGTTATTTTGCTGACACTAATGACAGAATGAATGCATACACAACTCTTTCAGCTATATTCACACACAAACAGGACTAAAGCACATCAAAGCAGTGTGTGTGCATCTGCCTGTGCTTATGTTGTGTACCTGAAGCGTGAGATTTCCCATTGCGTCCCGGTATGCTGGGGTCAAAGTCCATCTGCTCCAGCTGGGTTTTTGATTGGCTGCTGTAGCCGCGGCCGCCTCCACCAGCAGCGATGATGAGAGGGATGTAAACTGCTCTGTCCACCTATGCCAATATTTTTAACACTGTTAGAGTAAATTAGAATCAAGGGAACATTTAATCAGTTTGATAAAAAAAAAGAAGGGGGAAGTGAAAGAAAGCAGGGTGTGAGCTTCCTGGAAAGGCTGAGACTAAAACTCTGGATCCCTGTGACAGAAAAGTTTCCTGCCTGCTGCTCTCTGCAGAAAGGGTTAAGCGTAGAGGACAAATTTTGCAATGAAAATTGGAGGTAATTATCATAGTAATTACAATTATGATTATAATGTTAAACTGAGGATTTATAAAGGTTTCCAATTTTTTATAATGATTCCATTAATTCTTTCAAATGTACTCTCTTCAATCTCAAGTAAATTTTCTTTTGGTTACGAAACACAAAGAGCACATTTTCTTCTAACAGTTATAAATCTGTTTTGGATCCAAAACAAGACTTAAAGCTACATTTATTCACATCATTATGGTGTCCGTAAAAGTCCAATGTGTTCCCTTAAATTGTAAGGTTTACATCTGAGAGTGCATCTCCTGGTCAGAGTAGACTTCTATACATTTTAAAAGGCATTCAGGATGATTTTTTTTTTGTCATGTTAATTGTGAATTGTATAGTTTCTAAAATCACATTGTGGAATAAAATAAATAAAAAAGCATTGATTAAACTAAATTTGAACCATCTGGACAGAGCATTATAGCCTGGGTGCCATTCCGAACTTAGTCCCGCCCACAAGGTTTGAGGTCGGGAAGTTCGGTCTGGCATTGCTCCATAGTAGCGCGAGTATGATCGCCCACTCTCTGGCGATCCAATCAAATTGTCAGGGCGGGCTTTATACGATGATGGACAGATTATCAGCAGTAACGTAATCAACCATGTGACCAAAGCGCGCTTGGGTGACAACAACAATGACTGCTGCCGGAGACTTGAGGTGAGTAGATTCTGCTATTAGGTCTGTTCTAGAAGATATTGACAGCAAATTAATTTTAAAAGAGTAACAGAGAAACGCGATCAAGGCTCATCTTCTTATTCTAGGCGTGCAACTGCACGCTTTGATTTTTGTTGACAACAACTATGCCTCGCTTAACATACGTCACGCACTCCGTTGCTCTTATTGGTTGTAGGTCTATCCAATTGAGTGCAGAGGCATTTTTTTTCCTGGTTCGTTCAAAACACGTCCCATAATCACAGTTCTATGGAGCAGTATCAGACTCATATTCTGACTAGAATTGAGTAGGACTACGTCAGGCTAAGAGCATTAACCCTCTATGGAAAAAAAAAATCAATATACAGTGATATTGTACCTTTTGTGGATGAACAAAGTGTCTTCTTAAAGCTACAGTGTGTAACTTTTAGCGACATCTAGCGGTCAGACTGCAGACTGCAGCAACATGAACATCTCCCCCCACCGCTTCTCCCCCCCAACAGTACGGCGAGCATTACGGGACAAAATGTCTTCCACGACGTCCGCATCACCTACCTTCTCAAGTGATGAGGTTTGTTTACATAGATAATTATACAGATAGTATTTCATTAGTCTGTGTAGGGTATAGATTTCATGTAGACTTAAGATAATAAATATACCCGTTATTTTTTCTACATCGTTGTGACGTTTTGGCGATCTCGCAATCGCTAGTTTGTTGGCTCTGCACTGCCGTAGCGCAAAGATGTCTGCCTCCATGGCTGCGAGACCCGCTCCTATGTAATTATAAATAACGAATTCTAAGGCAACGCAAATATTAAGGTTAAGAGGCTGAGCTCGTAGATGATGATAAATAACATAGTTATGTATAATATATTACATTTCTGACTGTATATCCCTGTAATTATTACACACTGTAGCTTTAAATCTACCTTTCTCATACCTCATCCAAAGTAGGCAGTTATCCTAGAACTACTGAAATTATTTCAGATTACACATAAATAGATTAATTAATTCTGTGGGGAAAAATGAATTACTTCAGGGTCAGGGTTACGATTCATTCAGTGATAATAAACTACTGGGCCTACTGGTAGGTAGGGGGCACAATCTGTAGACATTGTATGGGACTGATAACCGCTAATAATGACCATTTAATGAGATGATGAAATCTGAAGCGTTTGCAAACAGCATCTTAATATTTACTCTGTATGTAAGACAGAAAAAAATGAGAAGGAACCCATAAGATGATGCACAGGTTCTACCAGTCTAAACAATGTTCTTATTCTTAATCTTCTCCTGTTGCCAGATGATTTCACCTAAATAGATACGTTGATCCACTACCATTCAAGCAATAAACTAGTCCTCCCCCTAATGTTATGGTGGTTGCATCAGCTTATGTTATGCCGTTGATATTTGTTGGTTTTTCTGAATATGTATTTCTGATATCTGAAAAACATTTTTTCCTCGTCAAAATTAACATTTTACACAAAATGACACTCTTCATATCTAAAATAAACATTCTGGAATTTCAGATCTCCATATTCCTTTTATAGTTTGTGCTACTTTAAGTTGACCTACTCACAGTTGATCAAACTAACTTACAGCAGCCTTTGCACAACCAAAAACTATGATTTTCCAACATCAGGCTAGATCAATTTAAAGTTGAGGACTAAAATCTGAGTTTGTTAAACCTGCTTTGTGAAACGGGCCCCTACTTAGCTTTAGTCACTAAGCCACATTTTATTCCAGTTTTTGTTTCATACAATTTCATTGTAATACTATCAAACGTTTGGATGTTTTAGGTCCCAGTTCAATAAAATTAATATTAAAGAAAAAAAACAAAAAACAAATAAAGGAACAAATGTGTGTGGCTCAAGTTCATTTTTCAAAAAGCTGCAGGGTTGGAACAGTTTCTTAGTCTGTTGGTCTTGCTCTGGATACTCCTCAGCGCTGTGCCTGAGGGAGAGTCTAGCACAGTCTCTGTGCCGGAAGGATTCCTTCAAAATGCACCCTTCCCCTTGGATCTTGATGCATGAAGGCCTGGGGTGGAAGGAAGGCTTCTCCCTACAGTCCTCTGTAGGGCCTTCACCACCATCTGCAGAACCACCATCTCAGCAGCAGTGCAGCTGCAATGCCAGTTGATGTAGATGCAGTTGCAGAGAACACTGTCCACCACAGCGATAACATTTCTTTAGGAATGATCTCCTGAATTCAGCTCTCTGCAGCTTCCTGAGCAAGTAGAGACGCTGATGGGCTTCCCTGATCAGACAGGAAGTGTTGACACATAAGGTCACCGGATAAATACAGTACACAACCAGGTACAGTACCTGTAGCTGGAGACCACCTCCACAGCCGATCCTCGAAGGCACAGGGATGAATCTCTGTCCTTTCTAATATCCACCACCATCTCCTTAGTCTTTTTTCACATTGAAACAAATGTTATTGTCTCTGCAGCACTGCACCAGATGTTAGACCTCCACTCTGTATTTGGACTGCTTTGTCGTCTTCAAACTTTACTATGTGACAGCTGGTGTGTCTAGCTGTGCATTCATATGTTAGCAAAATTAACAGGAGGGGGCTCAGCATGCAGCCCTAGGTCAAGCTAGGTCTGAGTGATTTAGGAGGAGATGGTGTTGTGAATCCTGACAGTTTGAGATCTATAGTCAGTAAGTCAATGACTTAGTTCCCAAGTGCAGGACTCAATCGAAGAGAGGGGAGCTCTGCACTAAGGTCAGCACTAAGGTCTAATGGTAGTGTTGAAGTTCATGGAGAAATCCAAGAGCAGTGGGATGTAGGAGTTTCTGCTCTCCAGGTGGGTGAGGGCTGTGTGGACCACCGAGGACAAGGCATCAGCAATGGATCTGTTCCTTGCGTAGGGGTAGTGATGTGGGTCCACAGTGACACTTGTGGAGTCCTTAATATGGGTCATAATCATCCTCTAAAAGCACTTCATGACTAGCATTGTTAAGGCTTTAGGTCAGTAGTCATTCAGGCCTGCAGCTGAGGATTACTTGGTAACAGAGACAAAAGTTGTGAACTGTATGCAGGTTAGGACAGATGCAAGTGACAGTAAGGTTTTAAATATATCCATCAACACTTCAGACAACTATTGGGGACTGTCCCTTAGAACCCGCCCAATGGGGGCCAATAGTGTTATGAAGATTGATTCTCTGGAGGATCTACCTCACGTCTGCTGTGGTCCTACAGAGGGGGATGTTAACAGGTGGTAAAATGGATCTTGTGCTAATGGGGGTCTTGGGGTATAGAACCTGTTCGGTGCACCTGGTAAGGAAGGAATATAGATTGTAGCCCATTTTGCATTTGATGCCCTTCCACATACGTTGCGGATCATTGGAGGGGGGAAGTGACCATAAATTTTCAGGGCATATGTGGCTCATCGTTAAATTTTTTTATTTTCAAATATAATATAACATCAGACTTTTAAAGCCAAAATGCTCACACTGTTCTTACGACCTTCATTTCTTCTTTGGTGTATTTGAAATAAATCAAACATGTTTTCTCGTCTAAAGATATTTCAGCATAAAAATTGTGGTTTGCCTTTAATTAGTTTGATACATTTTTAAGGTTTTTTTCTTCTTGTGGCTTTAAAAAAATCCCTTTGCCTTAAACATTTTGTATTTGTTCCATATTTGAACAGAAAAAATATTCCATTGCTGACATTTTTCCTGTTTGACCCTGACCTTAAACCTATATGCATAATGTAATAGCTGTTGGTAAATAATTAAAACCACCCATCCTTTGCAGACTTGATCCGTGCTTACCTTGAACACATATGTTGCTCCACCGCCTCCTCCTCCACCTCCTTTCACTTGGGTTCTGTTCACCATAGGGCCACTCTGCTCCAAGCAGATCTTATTCAGCATGATGTTGGACTGCAACAGTGGGAAATAGGATGTCAGTTCGCTAAGACGTTTCATATCATGGATATCAGATATGTAAAGACGAGGCATCAGCCAAACCCCAGCTGATTTGAGTTCAGGAGTTTAGCTTTGCAGAAGTGATCACACATATCCTCATGACTGAAGCAGCCAGGTTGTGTTTTAGAATCTACTTTGATTAGATTTTTCTTTATATACATGTTGCATAATAAAAAAAAATTTGCGACCCTGAGACATTTTACTGTGGGATGGAACCAAGAGCCCTTTGTATCCCCCTATGGAGAGAAAAGTGCTGCTGTTCTCCTCTCCTATAAAAATGAAGCTGGACAGTTTGCTGGCAAATGATGTCAGAAGCAGCGCCTCTACTCAAGCTCAGATTTCAGGGACTGATGTGTCGTCTTTCTGTGTGCTATCATGCTGAACAGCCTGCAGCCAGGCCTCCTTTAAGTGTGAAGGGGCACAACACTTTCTTTCTTTCGCTCTGTCTGAGCCTCAACTCCCAGATCTGTCTGAGCTGAAACTCTAAGAGGCATTGAAGGGAAGACAGGGAGGATGTCTGACTGTGATTGACAGGTGGGGGGGCTCAAATGATCCAAAAGAGTCCCTTCTTTTTTTATGTTCAACTTTCTCACTCTGTAAAGATAGACTTGTGTGAGAGGAGCTGCATGTGTGAATGCGTGTGTGTGTGTGTGTGAGTGTATTTCTCAAGACAAAGTAGCCCTCATCTCCAAAGGGAAATCTTGGAGTGAGGTGTTGGTCTTGTTGTCAGATCTTTCACTTTCAGTTAAACTTTGTAACACCCTCTCTCCTGTGAGCATAGAGAACTTCAAGACATGTCGGCCAAAAAACCAAAACCACAACACAAACTAGCCAAGTGGGAATAAAAAGACAAAACACGGATTTAGCTGAGCAGTAACCACCCATAGAACTGTTGGAAGGGGGCACACACAATTATAGGCTCTGGAGAAAAGCCCGGGCTGCAAAAATGTCACATCTTGCTCCTAAACAAGCTAAATAACTTGTTTATCTGTTCCAGGAAAGCTATGAAACAAGGAAATTAGCAACTGGCACTTAAAAACATTCTGAGAGGTTATTAGAATCTCTTTGTTTTTCTTTTTTTCTGTAGTTTCTCTGAAGATTTTCTCAATGGTCTTTCTGGAAAAAACTGAAGAAATTCTTTCCAAAGTACTGTATATACTGAAGTACTCTCTAAGACATGAAACCTGGTATATAGAAATCAAATTTTTAACAAAAAACAACTTAGGGTTTTAAAAAATGTTAAAGAATAACTATTTATAGTATCCAAGTCCAACTTTTCTCAGAACAATGAGACATCATTGACAGCTCCCATGACCCATTACAATAAATCTACAAATGTAATCAACCTTAACAAGAAAAGATCTCTTATTTTGGTAGAATCTTTACACTAAAAATCCATAAAAGTGTTGAAAGTCTTTGCAGCATTTACCCAAAGGAAATGGTCTTTGGCTACCACAATAAAATTATAAATTAGTCACATATGAGAAATATTTCCATGGTAGACATATAAATAACAGCAAACTTATCCAAGAAGATTTTTTTTTTATTTCACTGTTTTTTATCAAGAGGATGAAGAGTAGACCTTCTACCAATGCTTGCATGTTTTGATCAAGAGAAAAATGCAGACTTGTTCTGATTTAAATACTGACCAGATACGCCAGAACCAATTTAATGTGCACTGAAGTCTTACTCACATTTGTTTTACAGTATATATTTTTTATAGATTTGCTGCAGATATTTCATAAAATTGATGATGAATGCATGGACTCACATTGGGGCAGGCATCTTCTCCTTGTTGTCCCACCAGGATATAAAGTAGCTCCCCTCTCCTGAGCTGAAAGTCTCCCGTTATATATACACCATGTGATCTGCTCATGGCCATCACGCTTCGCCCACCAGCTGCACCGTAGGCGGTGATCCTGAGGGGCAACAAACATTTAGATGAATACAAAGCAAGACACATATAAAGATATGAAGAAGGGAAACCAAAACATTGGGTGAGAGTGTTTTTGGAGAATTTCTCTTATGGGAACTGTAGATTCACTACTGTTTTCAGCTTATTTTAAAGGGCCAGATCAAATTAAATAGAGGGAATGTGTGAACAAACTTAACAACATATGCTGTCTACAATGGTACTAGTTTTCTCATATATGTAGCCCCAGGCTTTTCAGTGCTTGTGTGCAGCTGGTTTATTGTGATTGGAACTTCTAGAGACGTCTACCAAAAGTTAAATCAAGGCTTAAACGGCTCATATTTTGAGCTTTGCCCACAGGAATGATATTGATTTTTTTTTTTAAAGGCTGCAACAATAATCCTGGAGCACCCCACACCCTAAAGTCAACACACTAGCTCTAAATCTGGATAAATTTTCAAATGTTGATGCTCCACCATGGCAAGAAAGGTGGGTAGCATTGGATTCAGGTGCAGAGTGATTCATGCCACATGTCCTCCCTCCTGATGAGAATCTGTAATCTTTCTGTGCTTGCTGGTAGAGGATTGATGCATGAAGCAGTAGAGGTAGGCGTAAGGATAGAGTCAAATTTTCTGCAAAAATATCAGATGTACAAAGGGTGGAGTGTGTAATGTCTACCACTACCATCCATCAGGGTGAACTCAAACACGGTAGGGCTGAGCTGGGGGGGTGGGCAAGCAATTTCACTCCAGTCCTCTGCCTCTCCCTGTAGGGTGCTCCATAGTAGACAAGAGTCCAGCCTTTCTGAATGTGCTGTATTTCAGAGATCAGGGTATGTATAGAGGTCAGCCTGAGTATTTCCAACCAGTACTCACAGACAAACCAAAACCCCCAAGGCTGGCTCCATAGTGAAGTCCCAACTCTACTGTACCAGGTGATCTACATTTTTTTTGGATTTCTGCACTTCTATTTGTAGTCTTCACCCAGAGCCTGTTTGCCAAGAGAGGCCTTACCAGGAGGCCCTGATAACATAGTCTATTGGATCATCCACTTAAAACCCCTTCACCACATTAAGGTGGGGGTTGAGGGAAATGTATATCTACCTTTATCTGGTTAAATTCCCTTTAAACATAACATAATTACTATAGTTTTTAAAGATTTGAAAACAGATGGATGCAGTGGAGGCGTTCTTGTGACCTTTTAAGCTACAGATAAGGGTAATTTACAATTAATGTAATCTAATGCAACACAATTTAGAAGAACTCGGTTATCAGGAGCAGTTGGGTTATGTCTTATTCTTAGGTACAAAGTCCTGAGGAAGCCATGCGAATTGGCTCAAACACCTGTATGCAAGCAAGGGAATCAGCACCCATTATGTAAGTTCAGAAAGAAACAGGTTTTGTGTGCCAGACACTGACAGTAGCTGATAACACAGTTTTCCTAAATTACCAAAAACCAGAAAAGTTTTTATTTCTTTTTATTTAATGGTTGATGGTAACAGATGTTTTGTCTTCTAATATACAGTACATGTAAATATCTGGTTTTATCTACATACATGGTTTTCACAATGCTTTGATTTTTAATTGGGATAAGGAAAATAGCCTGAAAAAACATCTGAATTTCTGGATCTTATTTACCATACCACTGTTAAAAAAGTTTTGTCTGTTAACCCAGTCTGTTTTCTTTAGATTTGATCCACTAACCAGTGTTTTTGCCTTAAACTTACAGTGAACTGTTACAATTCATGGTTAAAAATAGGAGAAAATAAATCATGAACGCTGTGAAATTGGGTCAGGAACAATCTAAAATTTTGGCAGGAAGGATCTGCTGAAGCCTTGAATATAAATTAGCCCAGTGAAAACTAAATATATGCTACATTGGCAGCAGGCCTACCTGTAGGTGCCAGTTTCAGGGACCCGCCACATTTGAATGCCTTTGAAAGGCCTGTGGGTGCCGACCGTCACGTTGATGTTGCTGCTCCTGTAGGAGTTGAGGCACTGAGTGGGAGTCGGGCCCTCAGGACCCACAGCCCCACAGGTGTGAAAAATCCATTTCTTGGGTTCAGCTGAAGGAAAAGGAAAAAGAAAATGGTTTAGCTCTTTGTGAAACACACACAGCTGTAAAAAGACAAATAGTTTGACTCGGTCACACATGCAGACTCCTAGATGATGAGTTGGCTGACATTCAGAGCACAACACGACTCCCAGTTCTTCCATTCTTCTGTCATTCAACACTTCAACATTTCCCACTGCTCCATAGCAGATATAAAGCACATTATTACACAAGGTGAATGTAAGATCATAGACATAATAGCAGCAGAGAGTTCCTGAAAGGATCACAGGTGATAAACAGTTTTCTTCATTTTGCCTGTAATCCCATGAGTCAAAGCTAATTTAGGCTTTTTTCCTTTGTAATTAGTTCAACATCACTCTAGTCAGATGGACACGTAGGATCTAACAGCTGCAGTGCTATACCCTGATTTAAGATGCAGCCCTGAGGCAGATTTCTGTCTCAGAGTAATCCTTCTTCCAATAAAGTGTTTCATGACTTGTGACAAAAAAGAGGATCACAGGGATGACAAAAACAAAAATTGGTCATCTTTCCTTGTTTCTAAAACACAATCTAAGAAAAAGTGTATGTGAAAACCTAAACCAGACTTTACAAGATTCCGGAGCACTGCACTGAGATGACGACCAAAGCCAGATGCTCCTAATCAAAATTATTGAATAATGAATCATCTTCAGTATTACCATTTAATTAAAAGTAGCAGTATGATCAAAACAAGGCTATCAACTCTTACCTATTGGGCGTGAGACTCACGCATCTCAGTGTCCTCACACGCTCTCACTCCATATACGCAATTTTTCATGCAAACATGACGTACATTAAGACTCAACTCCATTTCACTTATTTATATATAAATATACCACACTGATAAAAATGCAGTCCACGTTTTAAACACAACCTTAGGTCTAACACACAAATTTTTTTATTTTCAACATGATCATATGAAGTAGTTTTGCCACAATTAGATTAACTCATTGCTATTCTTCTTAAACAAAGCCACTGGAAACAAAAAATGCAGTTCAATCCAACCACAGGGGACTGAGAGGTCAGGATTTTACCACATTATTCCCCGGTCCTCATGGGAAATGCTGTCTTCCTTAATGCAAAAATGGGGCTAAAATTGATCAAAACTGAAAGTTCTGTAGAACAGCTTTAACTGTTAATTATGATTTGAGCTTGATTAGCCCTTTTGTTTGTTTTCCCAAAACACAGCCACGTCGGTGTGTTCACAGAACTAAACAGTAAGAATGTTCTTTTGATTAAATAACATATTTTCCGGGTTGGGCATTACATTTAAAATTATGCCACAACACAGCATAATTAATATTTTTCTGTTTTTGCTTTTCTTAAGACAACATGGTTCTTTAGACAAATGAGAGCAAAATAGAGATATATAAACAAAATGCACAGCATCATGTCTTAACAAATCCTACCAACTGTCAAGCATGGTAGTGATAGAATGATTATTTGGTATTTCAACTTTCTATTGATAAAAAAACTCTTAAGCTTCACAGTAAAGGGATTCTGCCCCTTTAGAATGTATATGCAAGGGTCTTGTACAGTCTCGAAAAATCCATCCATCCATCCATCCATCCATCCATCCATCCATCCATCCATCCATCCATCCATCCATCCATCCATCCATCCTCTCCTGCATATTCCCTCAGGGTTGCGATGGGGCTGGTGCCTATCTACAGCAGTCATGGGCAAGAGGCAGGTACACCCTGGAAAGGTTGCCAGTCTGAAAAAAATTGTTTTTTTAATAAAAATATTGGATAGACTATGGAAGAATTTTTTGTGATCTAATTTTATTATATGTCCCCTTGTCTTGATTTTCAGCTACAAATTCAACAATCCATCCAACCCGTTTTCTAGCAACAGGACCTGGAGCATTGAACCGATTTCAATTATTATGTCACATGTAAACCAAAGTAAGCCAAATGTGAACCAATCTGTTGGTCAAATGAAGTTTCACCTAAACCAGGTCACTGACAGGACAGAAACTTCAAGCAAATCTACAACTAAATAGTTGAAATAGGAAAGAATCAAGGTATTACAAAGGGTATTACAGGGTATAACAATTATTTCAAAGAGCTGTGCAGAAACAAATGTCTGTACTATGCCTTAGTATCAGATTATGTAGGAAAGACCCATAATTACAATGCAGTGATTTTTTATTTTATTTCAAGTAAGGCTATATATGGGTAAATAGCAAATATAATAACAGGATCTCGTAATGTTTAAATGGTTATTTATTTAAATTAAGTTTGGCTCAAATGACACAAATTGGTTTTGGCTCTGAACAAAGACAACTCTTGTGTTTGAAAGGATTCCCTCACGTCCAGATGGTTTCCCACTTCAACCCATATTATCGATCTTGTTGGTCCATGAGAGTAAATGAATCCCCATCCAAAACCCACCACACAGCTGGCGTAATGACTAATTCGGTGATGAGCACTTGGGCAGAACAAACAAAAACAAGATGAGCTCTCTGAGATGAGAGTCCTCTCTTATAGCCACTGTTCACACTTGTCTGAGCCACTCACTTCGCTTAAGTAGGAATCCACATGCAAAAGACACCCTTATAAATTCTAACTCTGCCCCAGTATCACATACACAAAGTCTTTTTCCCCTGAACTTTTCCACAAGTAGTGAGCAATTACGATGACAAGCATTGGCCACCATCAGATGGAGGGCCCGCAGTGTGATGAGGGAAATGGTTTCAGACATGTTGCAACAGAGAGGAAAAAAGAGAAACACAAACAAAACTGGAAGGAGGTACCTCCAGCAATGTCCCAGTAGTCTCTATCCAATCTGGACAATTTTAAAACAAGTTAATAGGAAATATGTCTTGACTCACGTCACACTTCTTTAAGGGCAGAAAGAAATGTCAGTCTGGCATGTAGGAATCATTGAGAAAACACTAATCAGGAACATCTGAGTAATTCTGCGTATAACAGACGGACAGTCAAAGAAACAGATGGATTGAGCTTTTGTCAGACTACCCTACAAGGCATGTTGTGTCAAAAGCAGAAATCTTCAGATTTTGATATTATTTTCTCTTGCCATGATGGCATTTGGCCTGGGTGAATCCATGCCCATAAATCAGGAAACAACTGAGTCAATCAGCTTTGAGGCTGCATTAAAACTGACAGCAGCTCTTTGATCAGACCAACCATTCGATGCACCGGCGGAACAAACACAAGAGAACAAAAAAAAAAAAAAATCATCTTTTACTTTAGGGCAACATATTGTGATCATCCACAGTGATTACATTTTATGGTATGTAAGTGAACTGTTCGTGGTAGACTGCTGTATAAAGAGCTTGTCTTGAAACTAGTGTTTCATAAAAAAGGCCTTGGAGTCTCAGATTTGGTCATGTAATTTTTTGGTTCTAATGTAAGAAGACATTGTCTTTTTTTTAGTAGGGATGTTGCTCTGGCAGTTTTAATCCAGTTTAATTCCTTTTTACTGTTCATATGCCAGCAGCTGGCATGGAACTGGCAAAAACACCAATTGAGTACAGATATTTCTGTAGTATTCCCATCTGATTTTTGCTTGTGCAAAATTATGTTATATCATGATATTTTGTTGCCAAAGCGTGCCAGGGTTTTCAAGGCACAACCTCTACTTAATGCCTGAAGGTCTACTTTGTTACTTTTGACCAAAACCTTGCAGCAGATCCCTTGAACCCTATTGTATATAATGCAAGGTATGGACCAGACATGTTCACAAGTCATTTTTTGCAAGTCCAAGTCAAGTCTTAAGTCTTGAGAGCTGAAGTCTAAGTCAAGTCTCAAGTCTTGAGAAGGCCTGTCGCAATAATCAATTTATTGCACAAAAAATTCTAATCACTTGATTAATAAAAAAAAGTGCAATAATTTTCGTGCTTGCTTGTTCTCCTTGTGTTTTCATTTCCGTCACTGATACGGTATAGCTTAAAGGTCACTATTATATCTATGGAATGATCATTATCTTGAACTGGTAAATGAAAAATACAATTAAAAAAAGCACACACGCAACATTTTTTTCCTTTATTTTTTTTCTTTCAAAAACAACTATTTTCTTACAGTATTTACCTGACATTTGTGGTTGCAACTTTTTCTAGTTTTAGCAGTAAATGTCTGCTCTTTTATTTTTAAGTGAAAATGAGGACTGTGGAAAAAAACACAATCACAATCCTGCCTTTTATTAATACATATGAGGTTACCAACTTCAAGAGATAAAGAAAAACCCTTAACAAATAGCAGGACAATAACAATGCTTTTATAAAAGAAACATTGTGGCAATAACTTTTTGTCTCTTAATGCCCTGGAACAGACAGAACCGACTTGGCGGGCAGTATTTTCAATTCAATTCAGTTTATTTATTTAGCGCCAATTCACAACATATTTCTCCTCTACCACTGCCATGAAGTTTTTAAAGCTGGGCTTGTCGATCAAAGACAAGGGGAGGTTGCATGAAATAATAAGGTCCTGAATTATTGCCTTATGTCTGATGTCCCTGGCTGTACACCGGCACTGCACTGTGTCTGATAAAATTAGATGTGGCGGACCAAGCATCGTGTATTTTTTTCTAAAGAAGCTGCAGTTTTCTGCTCTTTTATTCCCGCCTTATGTAAAGTTTTTGTAGCCAAAGGTTGAACGGTGGGACCGAAACAGGGGGGCTAATCATCGGCTCCATACCTGTATGGGTTGCATGCATGCCTGCGCACGGGCACGCGGGAATATATGTCAAGTAGCGTTGCGTCAGTGACGTCAGTGCTACATGACAGTTTGACAGCCCCTCTGCCGTTTTTTTTTTAAATCTTTTTTTTACCTCTGCTGTGTGCTGCGAGCGGCGATCAGTCAAGTTAGTAAAACAAAAAACACTTAAAAATAAATATTGTTCACAAGTCGGAAATCACGAGTCTCAGTCGAGTCTGAAGTCCTGCAAATGCAAGTCTAAGTCGAGTCTGAAGTCATTAAATATGCGACTTAAGTGCGACTCGAGTACGAG